GTCACTGATTGTGAGACCTGACTATAAGAAAGCAAAGCATGGGCAATACTGTCACTGATTGTGAGACGTGACTATAAGAAAGCAAAGCATGGGCAATACTGTCACTGATTGTGAGACGTGACTATAAGAAAACTGTCACTGATTGTGAGACGTGACTATAAGAAAGCAAAGCATGGGTAATACTGTCACTGATTGTGAGACGTGACTATAAGAAAACAAAGCATGGGTAATACTGTCACTGATTGGGCTTGATTTTTCTGTTCATTTTTGGGGTAGGTGGAGAAGATAAAAAGCGCAACATAAGAAACAATCAGTGATGTAGCTAACACTAATAATCTTAGCTATTCTCTAGTTAAAGAATTGTATACCGTAGAGAGATGCAGTAAACTCTAGCTAATACTAATAATCTTAGCTATTCTCTTGTTAAAGAATTGTATACCGTAGAGAGATCCAGTAAACTCACACAAGTACGATGTGTGGTTTCCATATACCTTTTCGGGAAAAAAAAACTTTTCAGACTCAGCTCGTATTCTTTTGAAATGTTACACACCATTGATGTTGTCTACAAATGTGCTGGCATCTACACACAATATGAGTACCGTAAATAGCGGATATTTTGAACGATCTCCATAATTCAATAGCATTTAATCTATACTGCAAGTTTCAATTTGTCGTAATTTTCAGAGGCATAACCATCTTCTTTTCACATGTTGTCATACCTAGAATTTGCCATGACGGTACGCGTGTGTGTGTGTGTGTGCACAACAAATTTTAACAAAGACACGTATAAGCAATTAAAGCTGAAAATTTCATCCCAACATATCTCGAGAATTTTTTAAAATCTTAGGTGTCCGGCCCGTGTATACAGTAGCTTAACGAGGTGTCTCTCACCTTGCTCCAGTGCTCCTAACCTGTGGAATAGCTTCTGTGTGAGTAACGTCCACATGTGGCGTAATCCAACACAAAATAAAACAATTCTAATCTCATTACCAACTATCGAGCTGTGTTATTTTGTGCTGGCTTCAGTGGCGGTGTTAGGAGGAAGCTGTTCTCTGTTCTTCCACTCAAGAGCGGCCCCCAAGATATGTGCACATGCCTCGACAGTACTTGGTTATATAGTGGAACCAAACCTCTGCCATTGATTTTCTATGTCGAGTCTATACTGGTAGTCGTCTTCATCGAGATATTAACAGTTCGAACAGTACCGTTTATTTGTTTGTTTGTTTTGGTTATTGGAGAAAGTGTTGACAAATGCTGAAAATAGTCCAAATCATGCCTCAGTCATACCAAACGCGGAGCACCCTTCTACCTAATCAATAGCAACGCATTCTGTGGACAGAAGCTATTAAAAAACAAGCAGATAATAAACATTGCGTCTCCTGTTGCGTAAAGAGAAAATTGTCCTTCTTTCATCGACTTGAATGACACTGTGTGTGTCGATCGAAAGTTAAAAGGCAACATCAATTTAGTAGAATAACACGAAGGCAATAGAGAGAATACCCCGGGTTACACGCCGCAGTTAGCGATGTTTTCTCCTGGGGAAGTTCTTTCATCAGTTGTTAGAGACAGGAATGAATTATTATGTTAACTCCTCGTTACAAGGAAGGATAATCGTTTCTATTCAGATTGTGGTGATACAATAGAAAGCTATGGATTTTCACTCGACGCTTCTCGTATCCGTGGATTGAGACGAACTTTAAATGATAAGATGCCACTTTAAGAGTTGAGTTCAGACTTCATAAAAAAAATTCGAATGTAAGTAATTATGAAGCGTTGTGCGTAATCAGTTCAAACAATTTCCTACTTTATGTTGTCATATTTACCTTTTATTATATTGTATCGTATTTTACTGAGGTTTTACTTAACTCTATCACAGCAGTGTTGTCACTTACAGTAAACTATCAATATCTATCTGCAAACATTTGGATACGATTGTGAACGCCAGTAACACACACGTATGTGAGAACATTTCATTGATGTATAAGAAACATTGCAATATCAGTTTTATCAGCGCATGCCTGCAATTCAGTTATTAATTAAAGTGTGGTTAGCAAACTAAATGTAAAATCGTCGAGGAGTAATACACACGACTGCACGAGGCAGACGTTTTGTTAACTTACTGTAAGGGATCAGCTGGCAGGACAGGGAGGTCTGGAACAGTCCAGTCTTAAATATATATCCTTATCATAAAGATTTCATTAAGTCAATTCAAACGCAAGCGTCAGGCTTATATTCCTAAAATAGCTTCATATGCTGCATTCTTCATGTTGCCTGGGAGAGAATAGACGTTAGAACGTACGGCAGCAGCCGCCATGAAGACACTTGATAGCTCCACTCCACTCCAGATCTGAAGGGGAAAAAATCCATGTCAGAATACTTTCAGCNCGTGACTATAAGAAAACAAAGCATGGGTAATACTGTCACTGATTGTGAGACGTGACTATAAGAAAACAAAGCATGGGTAATACTGTCACTGATTGGGCTTGATTTTTCTGTTCATTTTTGGGGTAGGTGGAGAAGATAAAAAGCGCAACATAAGAAACAATCAGTGATGTAGCTAACACTAATAATCTTAGCTTTTCTCTAGTTAAAGAATTGTATACCGTAGAGAGATGCAGTAAACTCTAGCTAATACTAATAATCTTAGCTATTCTCTAGTTAAAGAATTGTATACCGTAGAGAGATCCAGTAAACTCACACAAGTACGATGTGTGGTTTCCATATACCTTTTCGGGAAAAAAAACTTTTCAGACTCAGCTCGTATTCTTTTGAAATGTTACACATCATTGATGTTGTCTACAAATGTGCTGGCATCTACACACACTATGTGAACCGTAAATAGCGGATATTTTGAACGATCTCCATAATTCAATAGCATTTAATCTATACTGCAAGTTTCAATTTGTCGTAATTTTCAGAGGCATAACCATCTTCTTTTCACATGTTGTCACACCTAGAATTTGCCATGACGGTACGCGTGTGTGTGTGTGTGTGTGCACAACAAATTTTAACAAAGACACGTATAAGCAATTAAAGCTGAAAATTTCATCCAAACATATCTCGAGATTTTTTTAAATCTTAGGTGTCGGGCCCGTGCATACAGTAGCTTAACGAGGTGTCTCTCACCTTGCTCCAGTGCTCCTAACCTGTGGAATAGCTTCTGTGTGAGTAACGTCCACATGTGGCGTAATCCAACACAAAATAAAACAATTCTAATCTCATTACCAAGTATTGAGCTCTGTTATTTTGTGCTGGCTTCAGTGGCGGTGTGAAGAGGAAGCTGTTCTCTGTTCTTCCACTCAAGAGCGGCCCCCAAGATATGTGCACATGCCTCGACAGTACTTGGTTATATAGTGCAACCAAACCTCTGCCATTGATTTTCTATGTCGAGTCTATACTGGTAGTCGTCTTCATCGAGATATTAAAAGTTCGAACAGTACCGTTTATTTGTTTGTTTGTTTTGGTTATTGGAGAAAGTGTTGACAAATGCTGAAAATAGTCCAAATCATGCCTCAGTCATACCAAACGCTGAGTACCCTTCTACCTAATCAATAGCAACGTATTCTGTGGAAAGAAGCTATTAAAAAACAAGCAGATAATAAACATTGCGTCTCCTGTTGCGTAAAGAGAAAATTGTCCTTCTTTCATCGACTTGAATGACACTGTGTGTGTCGATCGAAAGTTAAAAGGCAACATCAATTTAGTAGAATAACACGAAGGCAATAGAGAGAATACCCCGGGTTACACGCCGCAGTTAGCGATGTTTTCTCCTGGGGAAGTTCTTTCATCAGTTGTTAGAGACAGGAATGAATTATTATGTTAACTCCTCGTTACAAGGAAGGATAATCGTTTCTATTCAGATTGTGGGGATACAATAGAAAGCTATGGATTTTCACTCGACGCTTCTCGTATCCGTGGATTGAGGCGAACTTTAAATGATAAGATGCCACTTTAAGAGTTGAGTTCAGGCTTCATAAAAAAAAAAAAAATTCGAATTTAAGTAATTATGAAGCGTTGTGCGTAATCAGTGCAAACAATTTCCTACTTTATGTTGTCATATTTACCTTTTATTATATTGTATCGTATTTTACTGAGGTTGTACTTAAATCTATCACAGCAGTGTTGTCGATTACAGTACACTATCAATATCTATCTGCAAACACTTGGATACGATTGTGAACGTCAGTAACACACATGTATGTGAGAACATTTCATTGATGTATAAGAAACATTGCGATATCAGTTTTATCAGCGCATGCCTGCAATTCAGTTATTAATTAAAGTGTGGTTAGCAAGCTAAATGTAAAATCGTCGAGGAGTAATACACACGACTGCACGAGGCAGACGTTTTGTTAACTTACTGTAAGGGATCAGCTGGCAGGACAGGGAGGTCTGGAACAGTCCAGTCTTAGATATATATCCTTATCATAAAGATTTCATTAAGTCAATTCAAACGCAAGCGTCAGGCTTATATTCCTAAAATAGCTTCATATGCTGCATTCTTCATGTTGCCTGGGAGAGAATAGACGTTAGAACGTACGGCAGCAGCCGCCATGAAGACACTTGATAGCGCCACTCCACTCCAGATCTGAAGGGGAAAAAATCCATGTCAGAATACTTTCAGTAGGCAAGGTAAAAAACTGCACCAGTGCTTTAAAAAAGAATAAAAAACAGACAAATGGGGTTGCACAAAGACCAATATTTTCATCATCTCCAATATCACGTGTGTAATCGATTTATTGCGTTATTGATCTCGCTGGCTAATTGAACAAAGTCAGCGCAGTCACCGTGAAACCGACGACTGCTGTGAGGGGCGTAAGGACATTGATTTCTCGATTGCTATAAATTATTAATTTGAGAACTCTTTCTCACCTTCTAAATAAATGAGTAAATGAAGTGTTGGTCTATCCCATGTCGCCGGACGCTCTAGGGTGTTCTATTGCAGCGGCTAAAAGGCTTTGCATGTACAGCACGAGTCATACGAGGTACAGATAACGACACTGGATTCTGGAAAAATTCGGTGTGATCAGCAGATACCTGAGGCTGTATCGATTATTTTCTCTAATTCTGGGTTTGTGAATTTAAAGCGGCACAATATGGGAATTTATCTGTATCACCTTATTGCTTCATTATAGAAATCAAATATACATTAGTTCTTTGAGCCATACCCCTTAACATACACACACACACACACACACACACACACACAGAGAGAGAGAGAGAGAGAGAGAGAGAGAGAGAGAGGGAGATGGGGGAGAGAGAGAGGGGAGGCTGACTACCCATAGTAAGCTAAGCTAGACATGCGAGCTCCGTTATGAAGGTATACATTTATCAGGCTGTTTCTGTTCTTATGTGTAGTACATCTGATATTTAAATAGCTAATTACAACTTCTCTTTATTTCCCTGAAAAAAACCCTTCATGAAGAGATCTGACATTGCTAAAACGCCGTCAGTAGCGGCTACAAGTACGTCAAATAATCGCCGCTGAAAACATTTCTCAAACATTTCTGGGCCTTGCATGTCGTCCAAATCAATGATCATTACATTCTTCAAATAGAATTATTTTTTCTGCACAGAAAATAATCGAATCATACCCAAAAATTTCGCAAACGATCATGAAAGCGTGATTAAGCTCTTGTTTTTGAGTTGTTTTGATGAAAAAGTATATTGAAATTAGGCACGTAAGATCGAAATATAACGATTTTCTCAGGAAAAAAATGCTATTGAAAGATAAACAGATTGATTATGTATATTGTACCATTATAGAACACCTGTGTTGTAAAATTTAGTCTCACCAACCAAAACATAGAATAACACCGAATACGGAAGTCATTTCTGTTGAAAGGCACACGTGCACTCCCTTTGTACTCCGTTAAAAATTCATACAGCGTGCTTTTGGCAACTATTGCTTGCATTGATCAAATATTTTAATATGCGAATTTGTTTAAGTAGAAAACAAAGTATTTTATGTCAATATATTTACTGTAGTACAAAAGGCGACTTGTATGCTTTAGACCTGTCTATTTTAGACCACTCCATGAGTAACATATGACATAGCATGACACTCCAGCTAAACCACTGGAAGACGACTTGTATGCTTTAGACCACTCCATGAGTAACATATGACATAGCATGACATTCCAGCTAAACCAATGGAAGACGACTTGTATTCTTTAGACCACTCCATGAGTAACATATGACACAGCATGACATTCCAGCTAAACCAATGGAAGACGACTTGTATGCTTTAGACCACTCCATGAGTAACATATGACACAGCATGACATTCCAGCTAAACCAATGGAAGACGACTTGTATTCTTTAGACCACTCCATGAGTAACATATGACACAGCATGACATTCCAGCTAAACCAATGGAAGACGACTTGTATGCTTTAGACCACTCCATGAGTAACATATGACACAGCATGACATTCCAGCTAAACCAATGGAAGACGACTTGTATTCTTTAGACCACTCCATGAGTAACATATGACACAGCATGACATTCCAGCTAAACCAATGGAAGACGACTTGTATGCTTTAGACCACTCCATGAGTAACATATGACACAGCATGACATTCCAGCTAAACCAATGGAAGACGACTTGTATTCTTTAGACCACTCCATGAGTAACATATGACACAGCATGACATTCCAGCTAAACCAATGGAAGACGACTTGTATGCTTTAGACCACTCCATGAGTAACATATGACACAGCATGACATTCCAGCTAAACCAATGGAAGACGACTTGTATTCTTTAGACCACTCCATGAGTAACATATGACACAGCATGACATTCCAGCTAAACCAATGGAAGACGACTTGTATGCTTTAGACCACTCCATGAGTAACATATGACACAGCATGACATTCCAGCTAAACCAATGGAAGACGACTTGTATTCTTTAGACCACTCCATGAGTAACATATGACACAGCATGACATTCCAGCTAAACCAATGGAAGACGACTTGTATGCTTTAGACCACTCCATGAGTAACATATGACACAGCATGACATTCCAGCTAAACCAATGGAAGACGACTTGTATTCTTTAGACCACTCCATGAGTAACATATGACACAGCATGACATTCCAGCTAAACCAATGGAAGACGACTTGTATGCTTTAGACCACTCCATGAGTAACATATGACACAGCATGACATTCCAGCTAAACCAATGGAAGACGACTTGTATTCTTTAGACCACTCTACGAGTAACATATGACATAGCATGACATTCCAGCTAAACCAGTGGAAGAGACCATCGGACCGTTAACTAGAAATCACGCTCGACAAATTAAAAATTCTAATCAATGGCAAATGAAAGAACTGGTTATTTTGACATGAAGCTCTTTGTGAAACATATCAAAATCGCAATCAGTACTATTTCGAGCCAATAATTCACAGTTTATATCTTAACCGATGATGCCACTTACGTCACAGCGCAACTGGCGTCTTTTCCATACCCTCCCGTATTTTCCATACCCTCCTTTGGAGACGTCTTTTCCATACCCTCCGTGTGGCCGAGGGTAGAAACTTGCTGAGTTATTTCGTGTGTGGCTGAGGGTAGACACTTGCTGAGTTATTTCGTGTGTGGCCGAGGGTAGAAACTTGCTGAGTTATTTCATGTGTGGCCGAGGGGAGACACTTGCTGAGTTATTTCGTGTGTGGCTGAGGGTAGAAACTTGCTGAGTTATTTCGTGTGTGGCTGAGGGGAGAAACTTGCTGAGTTATTTCGTGTGTGGCTGAGGGGAGACACTTGCTGAGTTATTTCGTGTGTGGCTGAGGGGAGACACTTGCTGAGTTATTTCGTGTGTGGCTGAGGGGAGACACTTGCTGAGTTATTTCGTGTGTGGCTGAGTGGAGACACTTGCTAGGGGAAGAACTTTTCAACCTATTGTTGTGTATGTTTAGTCAAGGAGCTATACCACTCCTTGGTTTAGTCAACTGGGACGCCTTCAATCTCCGTTGTTGTCGACCAGGTACATATACATAGTTGCTGACACTTATCAGTTCACAGGTGAGAGTTAGCAGTCCTGCAGCCTGCTCAGATAGACAGCTAGTTATTGGTAACGTAGAGTTAGCTGTCCTGCAATCTGCTCAGATAGACAGCTAGTTATTGGTAACGAGAATGGTATAAACGGCTCACGTTCGGACGCAAGGAATACGAGAAAAGATCCAACATCTCAATTAGTCGCGATGACTTTTTCATAAGGTATCTCCAGCTTAAATCAATATATCTTGGGAAGTGGTTAACCAGCCTGCCTGTTAGCTAAATGCTGATTATTGATATGTAATTCTATAAGTCTTCGTCAGATATACATGTTATCATTACGTAATGCGGCGCTGCATTGACACCAGTTGTTTCCCACGGCGTTTGGTGGTTGAGATGCTCCATTGTGCTCGTGGCTCAACTGTCGCAATTACATTTTAGACCGATAATAGACTTCGTGCATGACTCAGTTCGTATTTTGTGAAATGCTCATACTTGATAACTGAAAAGGATGCCATGTATGGCGTCATGAAGCACGTTAACTCCATTTCATGAAAGAGAGGCTGATATAAACTTTGTGGGTCAAAATTTTTTTTAAATAATTAAAATAATCAAAACGTTTACTCTCCTCAGCTCTTCGTTAGCACCTTGTAAAAATTCTAAAATGGAACGTTGTTTGACATTTTTACAAAGATTTTAGTTTTATATCAGTGACTGCAGTCAAATTGTATTATTATTATTATTATTATTATTATTATTATTATTATTAAAATTGTAATGATGGTGTTGATAAAGCATGCTAATTATTATTATTATTATTATTATTATTATTATTATTATCAAATTAACCGTGACAGTCGTCACGGCGTGAAGGGCCTATACTTTGTGACGTGAATGTTGTCAGTATGACAAACACAGATAAAGATGTCGTTCTAACTGGGTCATGGTACGTATATCTCTTCACTGATATCATTATCAGGCTGTGTACATGTCACTGTGTTATTCCACATAGAAGTATGAGTACCCCACCACAGCATGAAGTAACGCAAACCCTGGGTCATAAACACACCTTTATACATCTACATCGCTGTTGACTTAACTGCGCACTTTTTATATGCGGCGAAGAAAAAACGTTCATGTTTTGCTTTCTTTTTTTGTGGCCCGTATCATTTCCACTTTAAGAAGTGTCCCGTGCTCTACCAGTCCATGCTGTCCTTAGAACATGACTCAGTGGCAGATAAGATGTGGGACGAGAAGAGCGTTACATCAAGACGGTTATATAGTGACAAAGACTATACAGGGAGGGCATCCGTTAATTAAAGTTAGACTATTTCTGTGTGTGAAACTCTAGTTTTACATGGATTGTCTTTCACACGGTCTAGTGGGAGAAACTTGCGGTCGTTCGTGAGAGGACAGATTACTAGAAACAGTAGCAAATAACACGGATATCAGCGTTTGACTCTTGAGTTACCTGTTAATGTGGTGATCTGGTTGAACAGCGCTGTTACTGCCGTGCTCTTGTAACATAGCAGTTATAACAAGTACGACTTGTTTTCTTAAATCTATATCATAACCACATGACCTGCCCTGAATGCGGAAGACGGAATATTAAAAAAATCAGCGCGATAAGTTGATAAGTGAGAAATAATAATTAACAACGGCACCTAAGTACTTGTAGACTGAGGACACCAGTGGTTGGCTAACACACCGGACTTTAACACCAACAATGGCGTCAGCAGCAAACCAGCGAGGTCCTATGTTTAAAGTGGTCCTTCTAGGCGAAGTGAACGTGGGGAAAACTACTTTCTTTTTACGTATGAAGAATGACAGGTTTATCAATGTCACAGAGGGTACACACACCATCGACAGCTGTTCCAGGGTGTTCAACATCAAAGGCGACCGGGTCACGGTACGTGGGGGGGGGGGGGGGGGGGGGCAGGGGGGGGTTCAGGGGGGGGGTTTGCTGGGGGGGGGGTGTGCTTTCGGGGGAGTCTAGGTTCGTGTTTACATTAGACATTGTTTGTACGCAATGTGTTAATCTTGCACGATGACTATTTTTGGCTAATATTTTGTGAAAACTGATGAGCTAGAGCGAAAATAAACCCAGAGTTACCAACCAGCCCTGTAAAAGATCAGAACCTTTATCATGTGACACGATTTATTGTATGTTTGTATATGAAAGTGCGCAATAGGTCGACTTTATAACTGTTACGGAAAGCCAATACACAGTATTAACGTGTGACCCAAATACCCCCTTTTTCTGTAACCCACCGTGTGGCCCACATCACAAACACTTACGCAAAGAATAAACTAGGTGCACTGCACAGTGATACTCAAAAGTTTTATTTTTAAAAGTTTCACTTTGTTGGAGCGCTAACGGTCAATTATTTTATTCTGTTTAGTTGGCGGTGTGGGACACAGCCGGAGTAGAACGGTTCCGTACCTTAACTCAGAACTACTACCGCAATACACACGCTGTGATCTTGATGTTCAGTCTGGACAACCCGTCTTCTCTCCACTATCTGCCGAAATGGGTAGACGACGCAGGCAGTTTCTCACCCGCTGGTAGATAGCTTTAGTACTGAGTAGTGTGTGTGTGTGTGTGTGTGTGTGTGTGTAAGCTTCTCATCTGCTGGTAGATAGCTTTAGTACTGAGTGGTGTGTGTGTGTGTGTGTGTAAGCTTCTCATCTGCTGGTAGATAGCTTTAGTACTGAGTGGTGTGTGTGTGTGTGTGTGTGTGTGTGTGTGTGTGTAAGCTTCTCATCTGCTGGTAGATAGCTTTAGTACTGAGTGGTATATGTGTGTGTGTGTGTGTGTGTGACTAAGTTTGTGTGTAAATCTTCAATTATATACCATGTACAATTATGTGTCTACAATATGTAAAATGTGAGATAGTAGCGTGCTTATCATGACAAAACTTATTTTTAGCCCTGAAGATCCTCATAGGCAACAAGTCGGATCTATATAGTAGTGTGGCGTCAGATACAATCAAAGATTTCGCGGCGGTCTATGACTGTGATCTAGTATTGCGACTGTCCTCAAAAACAGGTATGGGACGCAGTCTTTGTAAGTCTACAGTTTGATTAGCCAAATGTTTCTGCCACCAATTTAACCATCCTCTCTAGAAATATGAACAGAAAGGCCAAGGGACCTTCAATATCGGCCAGGGCATAGACAGCCTGCTAGCTCAGTATTTATGACGGTGTGTGGACCAGCAAGTGAAGACATGACTGTCCACACGATGAGGCATATGCACGCGCGTCTGCGTTTGCCTGTTTAAGTACGTACTTTCACCTTGGACATATTATTTTTTATGTCCAAGCTTTAACGAATATTAATCAAACTGCCATTAATTAGGTTGCATTGCAATCTGACGACTGTCTCAAAGTTCACTTTCTATTGTGTTAGTTTCTAGGACGTTGTTTCGTTTTCCAGGTGAGGGTTTTAAAGAGGCTGCCGAGAAGATAGCCGCCAAACTTTTAGCAGAGTTCAAAAGTAAACAGACTATTCCAAGAGCTTTATTTGGCAAAGGGACCATAGTCGATTTAACAGATCAACCAGGCGCAGGACCCCAAAGCCAGTGCTACTGTTAAACCTCACACAGCATAGACGCATTAAATGCGGAGAACAAAATCAAATCAAATTTGTGCCATACAAATCATATTCAATTATGACAAAATTTCTTACAGAATGGTTACCTGTAGTAACTATTTAGATGATTCTATTTAAGTAAAAACCAAATGGTTTGTATTCAATTGTTGCCATGCTGAATTCCAAGAAATGACTGGACATCCATAATAACAAATATATCTATCCATCTCCAGTTATCAATATAAACATTGACATGCACTTGAGCTGCCTTGGCTCAATCTTTATTTCCTCAAAGATGACATTATAGATAACAGAACTGAACAGTAAGCTTCAATCCTCTTTTTTTTCTTTCCACAGTGTCTCCAAGAACAAAAAAAAGAACATTCACATTTCAAAGTTTTTATTTTAGTCACGGAATTCGTTTCTGCACTGTCATAAGATCAAAAGAAATTTGCGTTGTTATTTTCACAAACATCTGCAATGATCCAGTTAATAAAATAAAATAATAGACCATTCTCTTATTACAATTACTTCACTGTGTTACATCACACTACTGACATCATATTTCTTGTGATACTCCAAACCATGCAGAACAGTAGTTATATACATATGTACAGCCAAAAACAAATTCATCCATAATACCAAAAAAAAAACAACATCAGATCTTGTTGGAGGACCACTGAAACTGAATACCTTACACAACAGCTGGAGATGAAACATGATCATTATTTTGGCACAAATCACTTTTGTTAAGATCTTGTAATTCAATTTAAAATTTGAAAATCTAAAAATAGCTGAATGACTTCTATTAATGGGCATGTCAGCATTGACTTATGAAACTTCTAAAGGTATTAGCAAAGTGTAAAGAGGACATTAAGAAAATATTTGAAATTAGTAGAAAAAGGTAAACTCTCCACTGCATCAGCACCAGTCTCCAGTCAGTGGCATCACTGGCACTGAACAGACCAGACATGCAACTGACAATAATGAGTATAAAGTAGTTGTGGATTTCTTTTGTTTTACAGTAGTGGGTATAAAGTATATAAAGTAGTCATGGCTTTCTTTTGTTTTACAGTAGTGGGTATAAAGTATATAAAGTAGTCATGGCTTTCTTTTGTTTTACAGTAGTGGGTATAAAGTATATAAAGTAGTCGTGGCTTTCTTTTGTTTTACATTAGTGGGTATAAAGTATATAAAGTAGTCATGGCTTTCTTTTGTTTTACAGTAGTGGATATAAAGTATATAAAGTAGTCATGGCTTTCTTTTGTTTTACAGTAGTGGATATAAAGTATATAAAGTAGTCGTGGCTTTCTTTTGTTTTACAGTAGTGAGTATAAAGTATATAAAGTAGTCGTGGCTTTCTTTTGTTTTACAGTAGTGGATATAAAGTATATAAAGCATCTAACTCTACGTTTGGTCATCAAAATCTGTTCATGGATATTCTTTAAATCTTACAAAAACTGCCTTCAAGGGATTTGGTACCACTTTAATTATAATATTTCAGTCTGAGACTGTCTCTATTTCATAAATCACATGGTCTTTCATTTCAAACCAGCATCAAATGTAACATTTCCCAACCAGAAGACATCAACTTAGCATTACCCTCACAAAGCCATTCCTCTGTAGTGTAGGTGTCCAAGGCAGGTGTGGGGAGTAGTCTAGTGTTCTTCAAGGACAAGGTCTTTCATCTCTTTTTTCATCACTTCTGGGTCTGTATCTGTCAACCCACTGTCAACAATGACGCAATCTTTCTTGGGTTTATCATAACGATCCGTGGCTGTTTTCTCAATCCTGCGTACCACATCCATGCCTTTGGTCACTGCACCAAAAACAACATGGCGGCCATCTAGCCAGTCAGTTTTAATACACGTAATAAAGAACTGAGATCCATTGGTATCTTTCCCTAGAAATATATAATAACTGGGTCATCAATAAATACAAGTAAATAAATCAATAACACATTCTCCCTTGAGAAAATTACACCACATAAAATGCTGTAAATAAATCCAAGTATACATATAATTTTAAAAAGAGACACAGGAATCATCTGTTGGTTTCATGTCCATACCCATGTGACTTCTGTACTACATTAAAGCAACCTTCCTTCTATTCCTCTATTTAGTAAAGTAATCTGAGTATTTCAAGTAAGATATTTTACACAAAATGATAACATAACATTCTATGTACTTGTTAAGTGCACTAACCACTAACTCACCTGCATTGGCCATACTAACAAACCCTGGCCCTAAATGCTCCAGCTCAAAGTTCTCATCAGGAAAATTGTCACCATAAATACTCTTGCCTCCTGTACCGTCCCCCCTCTCAAAATCTCCACCTACAAGTTTGTGTAACACAATGAGTTGACGTTCTACATTGAATACAAAATATATAACAGGACACCATGCCAACAGTGTGTACATAAAATTCAGTCTAAAGATGTATCTACCTGGCTAAAGACAAAAACAGCTGTTACAAAGTCAGACATTCACAAAAATTGGAAAGCCATGGTATCATAAGTATAATGGAAACCCAAGTGTTACACAGTGAAATGGAGATTGTCTGAAAAGAAAATGAAGTTTTTCAAAATTTATGTAACATAATATAGACATGTAAATATCATGAGAGGTCTATCCCTCATTAGTACCTCACCCCTCTCAGCCCCCCTNTAAAGTAGTCGTGGCTTTCTTTTGGATATTCTTTAAATCTTACAAAAACTGCCTGCAAGGGATTTGGTACCACTTTAATTATAATATTTTAGTCTGAGACTGTCTCTATTTCATAAATCACATGGTCTTTCATTTCAAACCAGCATCAAATGTAACATTTCCCTACCAGAAGACATCAACTAAGCATTACCCTCACAAAGTCATTCCTCTGTAGTGTAGGTGTCCAAGGCAGGTGTGGGGGGTAGTCTAGTGTTCTTCAAGGACAAGGCAGGTGTGGGGGGTAGTCTAGTGTTCTTCAAGGACAAGGTCTTTCATCTCTTTTTTCATCACTTCTGGGTCTGTATCTGTCAACCCACTGTCAACAATTACGCAATCTTTCTTGGGTTTATCATAACGATCTGTGGCTGTTTTCTCAATCCTGCGTACCACATCCATGCCTTTGGTCACTGCGCCAAAAACAACATGGCGGCCATCTAGCCAGTCAGTTTTTATACACGTTATAAAGAACTGAGATCCATTGGTATCTTTCCCTAGAAATATATAATAACTGGGTCATCAATAAATATAAGTAAATAAATCAATAACACATTCTCCCTTGAGAAAATTACACCACATAAAATGCTGTAAATAAATCCAAGTATACATATAATTTTAAAAAGAGACACAGGAATCATCTGTTGGTTTCATGTCCATACCCAGGTGACTTCGTATATAGATCTGTATTACATTAAAGCAACCTTCCTTCTATTCCTCTATTTAGTAAAGTAATCTGAGTATCTCAAGTAAGATATTTTACACAAAATGATAACATAACATTCTATGTACTTGTTAAGTGCAGTAACCACTTACTCACCTGCATTGGCCATACTAACAAACCCTGGCCCTAAATGCTCCAGCTCAAAGTTCTCATCAGGGAAATTGTCACCATAAATACTCTTGCCTCCTGTTCCGTCCCCCCTCTCAAAATCTCCACCTACAAGTTTGTGTAACACAATGAGTTGATGTTCTACATTGAATACAAAATATATAACAGGACACCATGCCAACAGTGTGTACATAAAATTCAGTCTAAAGATGTATCTACCTGGCTAAAGACAAAAACAGCTGTTACAAAGTCAGACATTCACAAAAATTGGAAAGCCATGGTATCATAAGTATAACGGAGACCCAAGTGTTACACAGTGAAATGGAGATTGTCTGAAAAGAAAATGAAGTTTTTCAAAATTTATGTAACATAATATAGACATGTAAATATCATGAGAGGTCTATCCCTCATTAGTACCTCCCCCTCTCAGCCCCC